AGAGAGAGTGTTGTTCCAGAGAAGGTGTATGGTCTAATACTGAAAAATACGAGATTTCCACCATAGACCTTCTCTACTGCCGAGATTCTCACCATAGACCTTAAAAGTCTTTTCTTCTCAATAGGCTTCTTCCATTGCCGTCTATGAGGGTGAGAAAGAAAAATTTCTCCATTGAGGATATTTTTCTTGGTGTGTTCCTTAGACAGTGAGTTTGAGGACTTTTCATATTGAGAGAGTTGTTTGTGATGGAAATGGATTGAGATATCTTGATTTAAATAGGGGAGGAGGAGGTTCACGGGTTCCATTAAGTGGGTAGTTGGAACGGTGAGAGTAAATGAGTTTCAACTTCCAAGAAGTTGAAAACCAAAAGGAATCTTTTACCAGTTACCAAAGAATTGAAACTGTTTTAATTAGAAAATCAGTTTCGATTGGTTTGAGAAACGTAACTGTTTTAGTTTGGCTAAGCCCAAAAGAGTGGCCCAAAAAGAACAGAAATCTACGTACTAAAGGGAAATTATTCCTATTGGGTTCTCAAGTTCCAAAATAAGACTATCATTTTTCATTCCCTATAGTTCTAATTTCTACTTAGGACGAGGTAGCACCAAAACAAATGTGAATATTTAAAAGAAAAGTGGTACTATTTTTCCAAAGTCCTGTACATTTTTAAACATCCTAGGGACCAGTACTTTTAGAGCTGGTTGGAAATGAATTATGGACTGAAGCTTAGTTTAAGAAGGCAGATTTTGTAAAGTACCTGAATTGGAGATTTCCAATTTTAGTACCAAAACTGAGATATCCGTCTTCCATTGCTTTGAGCTTATCAATAATTCATTGCCAAAAACAATTGTTAGCCAAAACTAGTTAAGTTTCCCCCTGAATTACATTCCCCCTGAATGTATGCGTTTCAAAAAAAAAGTTAAGACAAAATTATACTTGTGATAAGCATAATAAGCGCAATTTAAAACCAATCAAGCAATGTTTAAACAAGAAGGTGTTTTCATCAAAACAAATTAGTGTTTTCACATACTTTCCCTTTGTTTTGATGTAAAGAACCTTCAGTGTCTCTTGCGCTTTGAAGATCCGGCAACTTCACTGATGCCCTTCATGTTCCCACACAGTTCTTTGATGCGTCTTAAATTTTCACGTCTTTCTTCTGATTGAGCATCATTTGAGAAGTGGTCAACAACTGTACCTATAACTTCTGTTCCATCCAGTCCTGAGCTGGATAGAAGTTGTGCGGAGTTTTCCGGATTTCTTTGCTGTGCTTCAAGGATTAGATTTGTCAAGTTCAGATGAGAAGGAATATAAGATACTTCTCTTTCTTTGATTGCAATAGGGAGCTGTGGTATTGGAGATGGACTGTGTTGTTGGAGAATTACTTCCATCTTGAGGTTTCCAAAGTTTGCACCAATAAGTCTGAACAGCTTGTATGCTTCCTTTTGATTGTCAATGATCACCTTCAAGTAGTCTTTGGTTACTATCTGATTCGCAGAAGCTACTGCTAGGGCTGATCTGATGTCCATTTGGAGAAGGGACATCTGTTTTTGGAGACTAATTGTGACACTCGCTATTTGCTCTTTGACTTTGTTGATCTCTTTGAGATGAAGCTGACTGTCAGAGGCATAAATTTCCATCGTGTTGCTTAGAGTTTCACTCAATAGAGAGATAATCTCCAGAGTCTTCTGCACTGATTTGCTTATTTCTTTGAGATCTGCGCTGTGTTTTCCTTCAGATTTCTCTATTAGCTGGGTGTGCCTGACTTCCATTTGTTCTATCTCTTGCCTAAAGGAGGCATGTTGAGATGCTAGGGCTGATTCGATCAACCCTTGGACCTTATTTGTCCAGATTTCCGGTATCTCATCCGGAAGAGCAGGGGTGGAAGAGCTATGGAAATGAAAGTGGTTACCTGATGAGATGATGGTGTTCTTTGGAAGAGTTGCATAGGAAGAGATTCAGCATCTTCTTGGACATCTTCTTCATCAGTAACCTTCAGTGTTCTTTCAGATTCTCCTTCTGTTTCAAGCACAAAATTTGATATATCCCTAGAGAGGGAGTCCCTTTCTTCAGCTGTATTCTCTTCTTCAAAAATGGCTACTTGAGTTTCAGAGACCTCTAGTTCTGCCATTTGAGTTTCTTTTGCAGCTTCTCTAGAATTCCTTTGTGCTTCAACAGCTTGCTCCATTGTTTCTGGAAGAGCTGACTGTTCCGAAATTTCAGCTGACTTTTCCGGGATCTCAATTTCAGTAGGATTGGAGATCTCACAAGGAGTGGTGAGAATCTCCAAAACTTGAGATTGGATTAGCGGCTGAAATTCTTCTTCATCTGCTGTTTCCTGGTTCTGTTCTTGGGAGGGAGGGGTTGCCTTCTCTTGAACAACTTCAGTCAGAACCATTTCAGAAGCATGTGAAGTTTCCTGAAATGCAGGTGAGGTTTTCGGAAATGTTTGGAAATCCTCAGCTGTTGCTTCAGAAGTGAGAGCCACTTGATCTTCTGTAGCTTTTGAGAAGACTGGCTTGAAGACTGCAGTGTCTTCATCATCTGCTTCACAGTCTGAAACTGGCGTATTGGCCAGGTATTCCAGATGCAAGTCTTCAGGGTTCCTTTGCCATACCCAGTAGTCATCCAAAATCTATTCACAGTTGTGGTTGACTGGTATTCCTAAGCACTTCTTGATGATTTTCTCATTCTTCAGTTGTTGGTCCCAATTCACCAGTTGCTCTACGGAATTTCCAACTTTCCAGGCTTTCCAATCATAGTATAGCTGCCAGAATTGGTTATTTGCATCATCTGTTTGATGCTGAGATGAGGTTGGAAGGCTTTGGACTTGAGGAATTTCTTCTTCAAATTGTTGAGGGCTCTGGTTCTGAGCAGATGTTTCCTCAGCAGGTTCCTTTTCCTTCAACTCATCCGGATTGACATTTCCAGATGTTGAGGGGGAGTTGATCTTCCTCTTCTTCTTCCTTTGAAGTTCTCCTTGGTCAGAGGATTCTTCCTCTTCTTCAAGGTTTATTGGAGCAAGATTCTGTGGTGCTTCAATGGAGGGAGACACCACTTTCTTCCTTTTGGTAGTCTTCGTCATATGGATGAGTGGGATGTTATCTGAAGAGCTTTCTTCTGCAGTGGCACTAGTGCCAGCTCTGTTTTCCCCTTTTGTAGACAGATAATATAGCCAGTATCTTTCTTCATACTTCTTTCCTTTAGAAGCAATACCCATAGATCCCAAAATATGTCCAAGGTATAGTCCTTGACAGAGATATTTGGCTTTGACTGGAATCTGGCACAAACACCTACTGCATATGAGATATCCGGACGGCTTGCAGTAAGGTAAAGTAGAGATCGGACAATCCCTCTGTAGAGAGTTTGGTCTACATCCTTTCCATCTACATCCATATCAAGCTTGGTGGATGTGCTCATGGGGACAGAAACGGATGACTTCTGATCAACTTTGAACTTCTTGATAAGATCCCTTGTATACTTCGCTTGGTTGATGAGAGTTCTTTCGCTTCTCTGTTTGATTTGAAGACCAAGGAAGTAGTTGAGTTCTCCCATCATGCTCATCTCAAATTTTCCTTGCATGAGGGTTGAGAACTTAGTGCATAGATCTTCCTTAGTTGAGCCAAATATGATGTCGTCCACATAGATTTGGACCAATAAGAGATCTTCACCATCTTGTAGTTTGAACAATGTCTTGTCAATGACTCCTTTGGTAAATCCATTGTCTATAAGAAATTGAGACAATGTATCATACCAAGCTCTTGGTGCTTGTTTGAGTCCATACAGCGCCTTTTTGAGTCTATACACTTGATCTCCCTTAGTATGTAACTCAAATCCTGGAGG